ATTCAATCTATCTTTATTCTGCAGAAGAGGGCCATTCAATCAATTTATAATCTTAGTCCGAGGTACTCTCGGCATATAGGCAGACTTCTGCAATTACAGGTAAAAAATAAGTTATATTGGCACTTAGCTAGATTTACATCTATATGCCCCTGCGCAATGATTGTTATAAGGTATGGAGGGCAACAACAATCATTATGTTTTCAACTATTTTGTCAATCGTTATTTATTTCTTTAGAATCATTTCAAAGATATCTTCGTTGACGATATCAAAACAGGGAAGGTGGGCACGGACATTCAAGAAGGTAAATTAACCTGGTTTGCTGTAACAGCGCTGCAGCGCTGCACCGAAGGACAACGTTCTATCTTCAAAGAAAACTATGGCAGTAAAAACCCTGAACATGTAAAGCGTATCAAGCAGCTTTTTGATGAATTAGAAATGGAAAAATTGTATAAAGAGTATGAACGTTCGGTTTATGAAGATTTAGTTCGCAGAATTCGTGGCTTGCCGTCTAGAGAGGAGTCACACTTCCTTGCGCAAATTTTGAAAGGGTGCTACAAACATTTCTGCTGATTGATGCAGAGCGCTTCTTTATTAGGGTGCCATGGTCGTATGTACCAGGGTCGGCCGCACCTACCAGGTCGCGCAAATAAGTTGGTAGGGCCTTAAATTGAAATGAAATATTGTTCATCGATAAATCTTAGAACATGTAGGTATTTCATTTTACCTATTTCGATTGAGATTAAAATGGTTTATTTACATTAGCATTACTAATTAAGTAAAATGGTAGAAAATTAATTAAGACACAATTCAGATGTTTATATTATTATTTATTTATACAATTCCCGTGTACTTAGAATCAAATATAAATGACTACATGCAATAAATATAATATGTACTTATTTTTCCTTGGTATCTTCATAGAGGAATTCTATTAATATTTTTAATGTAAAGTACCGTAATTAATTAGTTAAAACAGAACATAGCGCGCCCTCTATTTCTGACGCATGTCAACTAGGTTTTAATTTTAAATGTTGTTGTGCCCGACAGAGTCTATAATTGTTACTATTGTTTTTTCTAACCATCTGTATGTGTACATTATGGATGCAATAAATATTTGATTTCATTTGATTTAAAAAGTGTTTTTTATTACCTATTTGACTACGAGAAGCAAAAATACGTGTCAAATACCTGCCATCTCTATGAACATACCAAGGGCCTTATAATTCTCTAATATAAAATTATTCATTTAATAGTACATAATGAATATCATACCTAGAATATGGTAAAACATTAAGAACCAAAATAACATTAGTTATATTCTAATAAACTTAAACAAATATTTATTTATTGAATGTTGTATAAAAATATGAAATAACTTTTCTCATTATATTGGTTATATTTCAGTTACACAACATAACATTATGTGTTATATTCTATTAATATAAAATGTAAATAAAGTTTTATAATATAATAATAATTAGGTATATTTTGTTTTGTAGCATTATTGAGAATTGAAATAGTCGAAACACCCAATAACACTTTGACGAATTGCTCGACAAAAGAGATATTTTATGAGAGACTAACCCGTGAACCTGCAATTCTGTGACTGTCAATCAATTCGAATAAAATCAAAATTAACTGGATCGTGGTCGGCCATGTTGTTGTTGTCAGAATAATCTCGACCAATGAGGGGCGAGAATGCGTTCGAGCTCCCTTAAAAAGTTTGAATTTAACAGTTAAAGAATAGCCTTGCTGTTTGGAGTTGTCCAGGGCGCTTACTCTTGAAACCAATCTCAATGTCAATGCAATTTCAATCCAATATGATCTCAATAATTATTAAATGTCAACACTATACAACCACAATCTTAGCTGTTACAATAGCATTCAGAGTACGGAATATAAAGACAAACTCAATTCCATTTAGTTCATTCAATATCTACGCAATACGAATGCAATGGGCTCTAGTATTGCAACTCAAGAGTACGAAATTTCACAATACCAATGTCGATCGATCGGAATTGGATTCAAGAGTAAGCCCCCTGGAGCTAAAGTAGCGTAAAATTTATTCAGTATTAGCCTACGCAAGATTATAATTCGAGGTTTTATTCAAAAATATATCGGTCACAGCATAATAAATGAGATAATTTGTCGTGTAAGATTTTTTATAATTTTAAATTTATTCTTGCTTTTTATTAAAATTGAATCCATAAAATATGAACTAATATAGAAGGAGGTAGTTTGCACTGCATATATTTCTTACCTTTGCCTAAAAAGACTAGTAATAGCCTATTTAAATCCCTAAATACTAAAGCACCATGGTTCATGAATGTTCGCATTATATTTTAATTTTCTTACGAAGTTTATTGGTTAAAATATTCAAACTGTTATAATTTACATAGTTTTGCAATAAACATAATTTTAAAACAATATAAATCATTTTATTCCAGATTTCAAGATAATTAGGTAGAACAAAAATGAACGTGTTAATAAAAAAAAAACTAAACTGTATGATAGAGATGGTTCTTACGCATACAGTATTTTCAAAAATGTTTTGTAAAATTAAAAATTCTAGAATCTTTAGTTAGTTTGAATTATTGGCACATTATGATATGGAAGAAATTTTATAGGCACTGAATATTTACATAATTATAATTTCCTTTTGTGTCATTCAACGCAAACAACATTAATAAAATTGGTTTTGAGACAAAGTTATGCTGCGTTATAATATAATATATTTAAATTTAAATAATGTGCGTGTAGTCATAGGTCATGATCGTTTAATTTTTTTTACAGACGGCACGTCGTCCTAGTCTCTGGGCGACGGGATGCTGTGCAACATGTCGCGGTTTCAACTCTCACACGGAACCATTTTTTGTGTTCCAGAAGCGTTGTTCCGAGTCTGAGCGCGAAGTGCATGTGAACTTGTATGTTTCTAAACAAACCCAGTATAAAATTCTAGAATGGAGCAGTTAACTAAAAATCGCTCGACATTGCCGCGACCGCGCACACTGCTTAAATTGAAGAACCCCTCTGTGGTTCGAAACTAGTCGAGCTATTCTCAAAATTTGTACAAGAGTAACCCGCGTTTTATAGTTAATGGAGCAATGTTTATAAAATATTTAAAATTAAGGTAACTCATAACTTGGTTATTGTGACGGTAATTATTTAAATTAAAATAAAACAAAATTTAATTATCAGCGTCAGAGTCAATGTAGATGAAATGTATGCTAAATGGAATAATTTTAACTAATTAAATAAGTAATATGTAATAAAAAATACCTAATTGTTGAAATAAACGGGTCTTTGTCTGGTGTGTGTTATCAGTATCACTATGTAGATGACTTTAGTAAAACATTGTTAATAAACTTAAGTGTACTTTGGCCTTGCTAGATAAACCAGTTCCAGAAACGAAGGACTACGACATCTTCCACGACATCAGAAAGGATTAGTAAAGACTCCTTGTTTTTAAAATAAATGGGTGTGAAACGACTTGGAAAAATTTAGCCCAGTTTTGAAATAGTCTAGGCTAGTACCTAATATCAGTGCTGTCTATGGACATCCGAAACACTAGCGTGACGTTGGCGCGATCTGTTCAATCCGCATGATTGGTTTTCCCGTTCATCGCAGACGCATGACACGCCGCGCTAGCGTAGCCAGCGACTTAGGGTGGTGTTAGATCACTTTAGTATCTTCCCTTCATTTTGTTAAGACATTGGTCCTGATCTCGCCTTTTAGAGCCGAAGTATGTATAGAAACTTATTGCTTTGACCTACTATTTTATATTTGTTAAAAATATATAATAGTTCCGAGATAAATAAATAAACATACTACGAAAATGTTTGATTTTATTTAGACATTTCAAATGCCATATCAAAATCAAACACGACTTACGAAATTAAACTCTAATATTATTAGGTACACAACTCAATTTACTTTGTGACTTACGACTATTTTTACCACCTCTAAAATTAAAAACAATATTTAGTATGGTGATCTGTTGGAAAGTGCATGAGGGGTGCTCATATAAAGAAACCGGTTGCCGGTATTTATTTGTACAGGTATTATGAAGTCCCAGGTTTTATATGCAACTTACTCTGTATCACTGATTGCATGCCCACAATACATTAACGGCAGTCAGTTTCTTTATATTTGCCCAGTACTTTCTTAACTTAGAAGTTAACATAATGGTATTGGTATAGCAATGCATTTCAAAAATCTTTCGAAAAATGCCTATCTTTTGATTAACTGAGTGTCAAGCACGAATAACTATCGCATTCGTATCGTAACAGTATCGAGCGCGTTCGGCGCTCTGATTGGCCGGCTCAAGTGAACCAACCAATCAGAACGCTTAACTCGCTCGATACTGTTACGATACGAATGCGATAGTTATTCGTGCTTGGCCCTCTGATAGGTAATTGACATGAATGTCATGCCAGCAGTGGCCTGTTACAGCATGTTGATGCTGGTGGTGGATATTGCTCAATTTTAATCAACTAATTTAAATTATGGGATAATTTTTACACAAATAAAATAGGTTTATTACATTATTGTCATGATATTAACCCGAAACAATTTAATATTAATTAAGAATACAACTTCTATTTATAAATATAAACTTATCTAATATATGTTATGTTTTTGGTGCAAAGCAAACTTGATCCGAAATATAATGATATATAATTATTATTATTAAAAAAACAAACTGAGCAAATGCATGGTAAAACCGTAAAGTTGAGGAAAAGAAATTTTTGGTATAAAAAACTTGTATGTATTTCTTCTAATCTCAACGAAAATAGTCATATTTGTATGAAAAAGATCAAGTTTGTTTTACAAACACATTATAAAATATTAAATTCAGTCACAATCTGAATAACAATGAGAGTACGACGTCACTATAACTTCATACCACGTGACATCTAAACATTGACAGCTGTCAAACATAACTTTTTTTTATTGGCAGTGACTAGTACCAGCGATTATACTGCCATCTACAAAACTATTAATGTTTTCTTTTATAAATCCTATCTATGAGTTTATAGAAGAATACAGGGGCTGTTTCTGAAGGCAATGAACGTACTTTGTTCATTATATTATCATATACTAAGGTTTCTTCTTCGCGGTATATTTCTGGTAGTCCAAGTTCGTCGTAGAGTCGTTTGATGATGGCGACGTGTTCTGGTTCCTTCCTGCCGTAGTATTGAGCGAACATCGCCCTCTGTGCTTCATTGCAGTGCTTTAACGCTGTCACGGCTAGCCATGAGCACTTACCTTCCTGTATATCTGTCCCCGCCTTGCCTGTTATTGTCTCGTCGCCGTAACAGTCGATATAATCATCCTGGAAATAAATACAAGGAATTTTACACATCGTTAAATAAAATCTTTGCAAATTAAGAAGAAATTACTAGTAAATTTAGTATTTTAATAAACTTAGGTAGATACGTAGGACAGATTACCGAGTATCATACCGAATACTGCACGCAACAATAGACTTTAGGACCATTATCACAGAATTGTATTTGCAATGTATGGTAAGTCTAATGCTGTAGTAATTTCCTGCAATATTGAGTAGCATACGACATTTTACCCATATCTATTAAATGACATTTTAATTTTATATTAAACCGTCGAGCGTCCGCGTTCCTTTGATCCAACGGGGGCACACGTGACATTTGGAGAAAGAAAGAAAGAAAATGCATTTATTTCGCCATTGGCACACTAAAACAAGGATCATTACAATAGAAATAAAAAATACAGTCAAAATAAAAACAAAACATAGATTTTATGAAAGAGAAAGCAGCATGAAGCATTTTTTCTTATGATCCACCGGGTGCTCATAAGGACGCTCGAGGGGTTAAGTATAAAAACTGTGTAAGTACCATATGCATTTGATACTTTCAGGCATTAATAAAAATCGTCTCAGCTCTTACCTGCATTTGAAACAGATGGCCAAGCTTCATACAAATGTCGTTAACATCGGGGTATATCGCTTTGTCTACATCTTGGACAAGAGACAGCCCCAACAGTATGGGCAACCGGAACGTGTAGCAACTAGTCTTGTACTTCACAATAGACGCGTAACGGTCTACTGTGAAAAGACTATAGTCTTTCTTGTGGTTCGCCGTTGTGTAGTCCAGGTGTTGGCCCATTGAGGTGTATGTTAACGCCTGGAAATAGAAGATATTTTAAAAAAGAAAAACGTTGAGAATAGGCTCACCCCCTATTACATGGGACTCGTAACATAAATAGTGAAAAGTGGGTGTTACTTCTGCGTGCACCTCTGCCTACCCCTTCGGGGATAAAAGGCGTGATGTTATGTTATGTCAAAACGTTGAGCCACACTATTAGGATTTTCTTCTGTGTCGTGGGTGCACACAAACATACAATTTCACCCAGACGCGAAACAACAATTTGTCGATCACACAAAGAGTTGCTTCGAATTGAACCCGCTGCACGTTCCACGGCAGCCAGTTGCCTAGACACCGCGTCAACTGTGCAGTCGGCATAATGTTTTAATTTATTGTTTTTTTATGTAAAAGGTCGGCAAATGGTCAGATGGGTCACTTGGTGGTAAGCAAATAGCCCCTATAATAGATAACCGGCTAACTGCACCAGAAGAGATACAAGTGTGTGAGAGCCGTGCTTAGGCACGAATGGGCCGGCTCGACCGGAGTGATACCTCCTCTTAATTGGGCCTCACAGAAAACCGACGTGAAGCAACGGTTGCGTTGTGTTTCGTCGTGTGAGCGAGGTTACCGGAGGCCCAATTACCCTCCCCTTCCCCAATCTCCCCAATTCCTGAATCCCCAACGATCCTCAAACTCCTTATCCCCAAGAGGCCGGTAACGCACTTGTAACGCCTCTGGTGTTCCAGCTGTCCATGGGCGACGGCCAAGTACGATTCGGGGATTAGGGACATTGAGGAGGAAGGTAATTGGGCCTCCGGTAACCTCACTCGCACGACGAAACACAACGCAAGCAAACGTTGTTTCACGTCGGCTTTCTGTGTGGCCGTGGTCACGCCAGTCGAGCCGGCCCTTTCGTGCCGAAGCATGGCTGTCACATACAAATTAATAATATATTTTTTTATTATTATTTATTCTTATTTTTCGCTAACGAAAAATTGCTGATTCATATTCATCGTCCTTTTGGATTCCAACACAATGAGTGCATAAGCGTTACATTACATTATATTTCTTTATTTATTATTCATTAATCATTGTTGATGAACAGTGATAAGATGGGAACGCTAAGGTGCTAGAGACATAACAATGAGTCGTTGGCGATAAGACAATAGGTAAACAATGTTAATTCATTCATACCTACCTATTACAGTTTTTTCCTTTTTGGCAATATTAGTTTTATGGATGAGAAAGTTTGTTGTTTTAGTTCTTTCATGAATTGACATATAAATGTCATAACATACCAATTCATTTTTGTTGTCTTAAATAAAATGCTCGAAGTATAGTTTGTCTATTTAAGAATGACGACGAATATTTGAGGTAGTAACATTAAAACTATGGCAACATTAAATGAATGTGCGTTGCATGTTTTGCAAACCATTTTTTGTTAAAACGGTACTATATTGGATTTTAAGTGAATACAAGTTTAAAGAACTTTATTAAACGTGCAAAAGAACATTCGGAGTGGAGCTTGACTAATTGTATTTCGAGTATAAGGTGATTTTCAATAGAACAAGAAGCTGGACAAATTTTGTTAAATTAGATTCTGATACGATATCAGAATCGTATTACTGTTTATATTTTATCTGCCAGAAGCAAAAACCTACAAAATAAACGACTTTATGTGTAAAATAACGATTGTTTACATTGTTAATTAATTTATAGGTTAGTTTTGGATTTTATTTGGTTGGTACTTACGACCTGTGGCGCCCTCATTGATTTACGTTAATAAATAGACATACTGTACTTCCCTTTTATTTCATACTCCTTGAGCTCTCTTTATCACAATGGTACTATAAATATCTATATTTCGTACTCTAGTACCATAGATAAATTCGTTGTTAAACTCGTCTATTATCGCTTACCATCAGGTGATCCGTCTGCTCGTTTGCCTCCTATTCCATAAAAAAATGGTTTTCTGCTTATTGCAGTCAGTAACTAAATATATAGTGAGTAAATACAGACGTCATTATTTCTCTTTTGTTCTGCAGATGAAGCGTAACCAGTAATAATTTAAGTTGAAGATTATTCAAGAAATAAAATGGTTTTACATAAGGTTACATACTTTAAATTTAAATTCTCAGACCTTACATCTGTCAGGGTTAAATCGAAAACTCGAATGAGGTATATTATATCGTTAATACCTACTATAATAGGCCGAATAATGGTAAGTATATCGTATGAAATACTTACCTCATTAAAAAGCTTAACAACATTAACGAAGTGGGGTGTCTTCCCGAGGTAGGTGTCCAATGTTTCCATAATGGAGCAGTAAATCAGTATGGAGTCGTTGATGGCGCCGAGCCCGACGTTCGGCATCCTGTACCAGCATGGCATGCCGCGCCGTGTCGTCGACCCGTCCATTATATCGTCCGCTACTATGAAGTACGCTTGAAGCTGTGGATTTCAAATAACGCTTTTAAATATCAAAGCGAAATGAAACAAGTTACCAGATATGTAGGTAATATGTATAATGTAGAAAAAAAAAACAGTGGCGAATTTTAGTTTTGTAGTGTAGTGTACTGTACCTAAACCTAAACACTTTAAAGAGCGAAGATGGGAGTTAAACATATCATACAAAGGCATGTTATTGTGATCTTATGCCATGAAAAAATCCGTTAAACAGTCAGATAAATAGAAAAGGATTTTTATCTGTTCCTCATGGCCTGTTTTACAAAGTACGATTAAGTTTCAGTTACTCTAGCGGATAACTCTTCATTTTTTACTAACTAAATTTGGTAGTTAAGTAACTAAATCGCTATGAACAAAACCCTTAAAAACTAGAGGACCATAGTAACCTAATAATGTAGTCAGTTATTGCTATACAAACGCCTGGAATGCATAATTCCGATCACTATCTGGATTAACAAGTCGTGTATAGTAAGCCAAGGAACGTAAACTGCATTTAAACTACATGGGTATCGGATGTGGGTAACAAGGACAATACAAGAAGAATGCAGTGTCATTTAAGTTTTAAAACGCATTATGTACTTCAAATGCCTGCAAGTATGATTGCCGACCTTAGGACACTGTTTCAGAAAGAGTGGACAGACAGATAAAATATTGAAGAAAATGGGAAATTGTATATTTTGAAAATCTCAGAAAAAACTCTCAAGATATGAGATACTTACACATTTTATTTAACTAAAGAAGTAAATTTACCTAGTTTTGAAAAGTAAATTAGCACACCAGCATGTTCGCACTATCGCATGCATACTGCTTTGTAATTTAATTTTATGCTATATTCTATACTTAGACATGGCGTCATGGTATGCAACTAAAATACACAGGCGGTGATAACGCATTGTAGGAGTGATTTTATAGAAAATGCTTTAACTTTATATAAATGATTGCATCGACTTAATTATGCTTTTTTTATGGGACAAGCCCGCCACAACCTCCCAAAACCGCTGCAACTCCTGTAAGCCAGGATCTACAGTAGATACAACCATGAAAACACCGGAACACTGAAGTCCGGCGCGTCCCAGGGACATGAGTAACTGTCTTGGTTCCCTATAATAATAATGTTGCAAATTGACGTTTAGGATCTTCAGATTTGCCATTTCCCAATTATTTTGGCATCACCAAATACTCCTAATTGCATTTAAAAACACAAAGGTTGGCGTGCTGTAGGAAAAAGTTATTGTGTTTCACAAAAATTGGCCATAAAAACGTTTTATATATATTCTTATTTATAAATGGCTTAGGTATGGGCTAAAAATAGCTAGGTTGTTACCCTATAGGCAATTACGGCTAATAAAATAATAAAGAATCTGCCATCAGTTCTTTTGTTAGTCATTACAACAAATAAATTTTTCCTCACTCCTTACCGAGAAGGTCATATATTTTTATCAAGGATTTGAGCCAAATACCAATAAACACTGCAAGTATTAATTTTGGAAGAGTATAAATAATTCAAAGATAAACTATATGTTTAATTGTGTTTATTTTATTACGTCAGCTCAGCCGTGATTTTAAAAACATTCGAGCGCTATACTGGCTCGCTTGATTCGAAAAAAAAATCTTTAGTTAGAATTTGTTTACGTTTTAGTGATATGTTTAAAGATAAGGTTAAGAATTCTTTGGATAATGAGACATAAACCGAATTAAAAAGAGTACAAAGCATTAGGTACTCTTTAGGCTTAGACTTCTCTTTAATTAAACCATAAGGACTCTCGTTTTGCATTACCTATACATATATTTTAATACTTCTTCATAATATTTAATTAATATATTTTGTGTTATATGTTTAATTATATATATCTACATATCAATATATGTTGAATGAATAATACTCACAACAGTGCCCATCCACCGCAACGACCGTCCCGTCAATGTGTCAGTAGTTATAATATTTTAGTCGAACATTAGAAAATAGTAAATTTTAATCTTATTTACGGTAACTGTTAAAATATCGCAGTATAAATAAATATTTATTTACCATTTCGACACACCATCCGAGTACTCGAGACAGCTTGAGTTTCTCGTCGGTGATGCTTTCTGGTTTCTCCAGCATTTCGTATGATAACATCGTAATCAATCCCCTTGAATGCTTGCCGCCGGACAAATTGTGTTCTAGCACCTGGAATAACAATAACATAATCATCAGTCGAAATACGATCAATTCCGAAGAAAAACTACCCGTTTTTATGGCTTATGGCCTAAACCCTACGTTAGTTTACAGGTAGGTTGAGTATTATTTTTGTGCGTATAGTTTTGTACATGTTTATGTTTTACCGGCAAAGTTTACTGCAGTACACTTTTTAAACAAAATCCTGTGGCAATCTCGCTATCCACCGGGCATTTTCCCTGTAAACGCTTGCGCGAAGTGCATGCGAATATCGCCTAATGGTGGTTCAAGACTGGCAGCCATGTCACCAAAAGTTTAAATATCCTGCTTACCATTCTGTAGTCGGTCACAATCTTAGGACATCTTACGAAAATTTAAAAACGTACAGTTAGTAAATCATTACAGATACATGTGATTTTTATGCAAATACCTAATTTTAATGTATAACTACGTCTTTGGTCATGTGGTTGCAAGGGTCACTGACTTCTAAATACAAAGATCCTTAGCATATAAAATTCTCAGTAGGTAGCTAATAGGATAGTCTGGAAATGACTTCAATGAATGCCAAAAAGCTAATGCACATTCGGTCTATGATTAGATGACAAGAATGTCTAAAAGAGGAGAATGTGAAGACTAAATGCCGCTGACAACAAAAAATTTAGAACTTCGACAGGAATAAGAAGAATGACACGATATGGGACTTAACTGTTTTTTACTGGAAATCCAAGGACGTTGAATCCTTGCTGAAATCTTGTAAGAGGTGAAATAGGTATCTACGTTGCTTAACTTTTCAATCCCTAAGCGGTCACCGGTGACAGCTCTCCACTAACTCCATTATAGACCTTATTTCCGGTGAGTAAAGACTACTTTTGTATGAACAAATTTTTAGTACGATATATTAACCTAACCAGGCGTCGGGGATCGCGGGACGATCTCCGGTCATCTTAAGCGCGGGCCTGCGGACGGCGAGCATGGGTGGCTCGCCGCCCCACCAGAACCAGACCCGAGCGTACGGGGCGTCGCGTTCTGCGTGCGTCTCAATGAGCCTTCAGACCACCACGGATGAGGCCCAATTGAGCTGATGGCGATACGGAACCGCGGAGAACCTAACGGGTTACCGGGGCTCTGGCTTGAAGTGCAGGAGTAGGAACGGGGTGGTTTGTAGTCAGTAAGAGTCTGACACTCCCTCCCGCCTCACCCAGACGGGAGAAGTCATTCGATGATTTTCCCTCCTTAAAAAGTACCTACCTACTTCCTAAAAGGTACATTGTCACGTTACAATCAAGGCCTAAAGGTTGTGACTTAGTAAGAGTGCCTTCAGCATTGGAGCCTACTTAAGTAGATACCTTCTTAGGTTTTACATAATTACGGTTACAACCTTGAAAGAGAATTCACGTGCTAGTGATTAGGTATTCAGAATACCGTATTCTACCACACTCATATTTCATGATATCAAAAAAAGATAAAAATATATTTAAATGGAAATTAATTTATTTTACAGAATGCATTGAGGAAGGCAGATTTTTATAAAAAAATCATAAGTCATTAATTGAGTGTTATAAAATATTACCTACTGCTTTATATTAAAAGTGCATTTTGCTATGCAAACTTTTTCTTGGCACTTTTTGGAAATAGTGAATGATCATCACTTCATAGTATAAAGCAAAGTCGCTATCCGCTGTCTGTCTGTTCCTATGTATGCTTAGATCTTTAAAACTACGCAACGGATTGTGATGCGGTTTTTTAAACAGATGGAGTGATTCTTAAAGAAGGGTTATACGTATAATACATACATATTGCACCCTTGCGAAGCCGGGGCGGGTCGCTAGTCATAAATATAATAAATAATCGATTACTGAATAATGATAAAATGTCTCCAGACGGGATATTTACAGTGTCTAATATTTGTCTTGAGTTTCCGATCTTTCGACATTTGCAAGTCTTGAAGTGTCGGAAACGAAAAATAAACATTAAACATGACATATCCTGACTGGTACTAAAGTAACATAACATAACGCCTTTTATCTTCGAATGGGTAGGAAGAGGTGCACTGTACAATGTACCCATTTTTTATTATTTATGTTATGAGTCCCACGTAATAGGGGGTGAGCCTATTGCCATATTATACCGGGCACAATTCCAGACTACGAGCTACTACTGAGAATTTTTTTAAAACTCCAGTAATACTTTGATTTCGTTCTAAAGTAATATTAGTAGGTAAATAATTCAGTTTAAAAGTTATGAGCTTGTTGCAGAACAGGAAAGGAGACAAGGAGACTCATTCACATTTAAATAAGTCTATTTGTTAACAGATCATTGAAAGAATTTAATGTGGCTCTCTTAAAAATGCACTTTTTTAAAGTTTGTCTCATATTATGATTTTCTCGTGTCGTGATTGCGTTTACAGAAATGTACAATATTCAAATTACCTACAAACAGATCCGTAAGCCCATACATAACAACGGTTTGTGGAATGTCACCGGGATCGAACCCACAATGCGTTACACTGTGCACTATAACTGTTTGCACAGCCATTGCCTCGTCTAGATTCTAGATTGCACGCAATTTTATTCCCAAAAGAGATAGAGATAGAATATTTAATGTTACATCAACTTTTCACCAGTGAAATGCCATTTAGGGAACAGAGAGTAAGGTTCCCTAAGATCGGAAAAGGAGGATCCTTCGACCAGGCGAGGTGATCGTGTTGTTCGTTGCGATTTTCTATGCATGTTAATTCGCAAGTTTACAAACTTTACGTACGATGTAGGATTTTGTGACGTCATCCGTTGATTTGTTTTCATCGATAGTGTATGTATGTACGCCACAGACATATCAGACACATCCTTATCCTTACTAATATTATAAATCGGAAAGTGAGTTTGTTTGTTTGTTCCACTTTCGCGCCGTAACTACTAAATCGATTGCTTTGAATTTTTGCAGACGTGAAGTTGGAAGTCTGGATTAAATAATAGGGTACTTTTTATCCTGGAACAATTTGATATTTTTGAGGGAAAACGAAATTATTGGTATAGATGGCGCTGTGTGTATTGGTATATGTCACATAGGCTACTTTTTATCCTTTTGTGACGGGAGCGAAGCCGTGGGTAAAAGCTAGTTTTCAAATAAATGTCCCTGCTTGTCTCTAATAACTGAGAATTTCAATTAGGGAATCAAATCCGGTATATCTTATTTTGCAGTCGAATTTGCAACAGCTAATTTAACAAGAGAGTTACGATAACAGTGGAAAGAACAATAAGGTTACAAGTACAGTAAGTACTTGACCTTTTGTTATTTATAGGCAGTAACCAATTATGCAGGTTTATTGTAAAGAGTGTTGGTGCACAAGGCCATAAGTACTTATGTAACTTATTTAAAAAAAATTGTACCCAAATGTATTTTCAAGGAATAATATTGGACAATAATTTGAATTAAATTCTAAAAAGAGAGCCAGTTATTTTACCATGTCACACACTTTATAAGTTCACCTACTTAATTATTATTTTTTCAGCTTACTCGTAGTTATTTGACGAGGAACTTGATTAGTTCCAAGCCATGCTTGAGGCTCATATTCATGAGCAGCATTCCGTGACTGTCGCGCTGCTACTAAGTACCAAATAGTCGTCAAATATTTATGCGAGTAAGCCGAAAAACGTAATAATTAATTTAGTATGTCTCACGAAAGTTAGTAATAATATAAATTTACCTCCTTAACAGAAAAGCAAAATGTTACTTTAAGATCCACAATTAGGTTGTAAGAACCACAAATACATAAAAAGTTGAATGGTGGATTCAATTTTTTCTGTGAATAACAATAAACACTGTCTCATCAACAGCCCCAGATTTTTAAAAACTAGGGAGACTAAAGTTATGGATTTTCTAACTCTATGTTTGTATTAGTGTTATTATTATTTAACCTTATAAAAGACTGCCTCGTTGGCCGAGTGGTCGCAATTGCGACTGCCGAGCAAGGGGTCTCGGGTTTGATTCCCGGGTCGGGCAAAGTATTACTGGGTTTTTAAAAAATTCTCAGTAGTAGCACGGAGTCTGGAACTGTGCCCGGTATATGGCAATAGGCTCACCCCCCATTACATGGGACTCATAACATAAATAGTGAAAAGTGGGTGTTACATTGTACAGTGGTATAATGTGCACCTCTGCCTACCCCTTTGAGGATAAAAGGCGTGATGTTATGTTATGTTATGTTTATGTTATAAAAGTAGTCAAAACATACCTGCTTAACCCAGGCAGCCACTTCAGGCTGTTTTGATATCTTAGAGCTAGCCTGCAAGTTCTCAATGATACCAGGCAGTATGTCATGGAACACCTCCTTCTCCTTCATGATTTGAGATATAGACACACCCGTTTGCATAGTTCTCGTGGCCGACAGTTGTACGAAACTGAAAAAAAAATTACAAAAATACTATAAATATATTCAAAAGTCTTATGATGTTGCACAATTGCAGAGCTCATGTAAGTGGGTCACGAAAATGTTATTTTTAACTTTTTTAATCCTATTGCCAGTACTTGCCGGTGATTACTGACCTCTATACTAATAGCGGCATATTAGTGTCACATGTAAACTTTCTCTAAAGTAATTAAATATCAATTATTATGAGCATAGGATTTGAATTTCAATGCTTCTTAAACTGTCAAACACCACCAAGCGGTCACCGGTGACCGCAACCTATTGTTCTTTAATTGTGTCTATAAATATGGTACTTGACGAGTTAATTCTTGAACTTGATTACAGTTAGGGGCTTAGTTTCGAAATATTTTAATTATAGAAAATTCAGTAATTAGCTAAGTAGGTATAATATTTCATAATTCCTATTAGTTTTGGAAGAAAGATTTCTATTCATTTTATTAGGCAACTCTTAATGTAGTAGAAAATATCCAGTGATGGACATACTGGAAGGAAGAAACTGGATGAAAGAGGGTTTATGTTCTACTGCATAGTTTTCTGAAATGTATGTCACTGTCATTTTTAGGGCACAGTCATTGATGATAAAGAATTGCTGATTAATGTTGGACAAAGTGCATTTCGTTAAGGTGATATCTAATTTTGTGTACACTCCTGATGCCCAACCACTTGAGTGATATGATAAAATTATGATAGCTTAACAAAACTGAATTTTTGGAAATAATAAACATATTCATTAGCAAGTAGGTACAGTGAGTATGACTAATAACTTTAACTTTTACCGTTATTAATGTGTTACGAAGATTTGACTGCTCGTTGACCATAACGTCATGAATATTGTAAAAAATTTAAAATATTTAAAAGTTTCCAGTTTTAATTTATATACTTTGGTTTACTCACCACGGATGTTTGTCGTAGCCAGCCCATACTGATCGTGTTCTACTCAATAAACGAAGGAATTTTATGTTATTCATCTTTTAAGTAAATAATTTCTACGTGCCCACTTTCTCTGACCGAATTCCGAAAGAAAATCAACCCGGCAAATATGCCTTGCTACACAGTACAGCGCAACTTGAATATTCACATAAATTCAAATAATGTTTGTGTTATTATATCGTTTCAAAAGGCTTATTTATTAAAATGAAACTAAAATAACCGCACACATTATTTATAAAACTCTCTGACGGCCGCAACGTCCTCCAAAGTAAGCGAGATTTTGACACTGACAATTTTACGAGTGACAGTCCATGACAGTCCTAGTGATCCAAGCTGTCACCTTTTTGACACTAACTTTGGTGACGTCATGACAGCGGCTTTTTTTAGAATTTGTTCACTCAACAACTCATGGTCTTTTGAGTAACCTATTATAAAAATAAAACAAAAATTATGTAAAATGTAGTTTTATTCATTTAAACATGTTTCGAACCCAAATACTAACATTTAAAACAGCCATCCAAATCGTCAATGTTTTCTGCCATATGTATCGTGTAAAACTTTAAGAAATAATTCTTGTTGAGCATTTGAGGATACGGATTTAATCCTCTTGACTATGTTGTTATAGATTTCATTTTCTTCTTCTTTATACAATTGAGGAATTTTGAGCTGGGCATAAAGCTGCTTAATACGCTCTACGTGTGCTGGTTCTTGGCTTCCATAACAAGCAGAAAAAACAGTGCGCTGATTGGGTTTGCAGTGCTGCAACGCTTTGACTGCCAACCATGAACATTTGCCTTCCTGAATATCAGAACCTAACTTCCCGGTAATTTTTTCGTCTCCGAAACAATCAATGTAGTCGTCTTGCATTTGAAAAAGTCTTCCCAATTGCATCGATATTTCGTCAGCATCCTTGTGAGTTTTCTCATTGAACTGGTTAGCTAGCATTAATCCAGCTGTTATTGGCAGTTTGTAGGTGTAATATGCAGATTTGTACTTAACTATAGCATTGTACTGATCCATCGTGAATAGATCGTAGTTCTTCTTTTTCATTCCTGTCATGATGTCCAAATATTGGCCAAGGCATGTGTAAAAGAGTGTCTGAAACACAAGACAGTTAAATTATACTTAGGCACCATAAGTCTGTTACCTCTATTAACGTCTAAACTAGACTGTATTAAAACGCCTAGATTCTGCTGCACAACAGTCGGGGACTTTCTTACTTGAATCTAAGCTACAAAATGTTACCACCTAGTTAATATGTTTTGAAAATCAATACTAACCTCGTTAAAGTTATGGTAGAGATCGTTGTAGTAAGGAGACTTCTCAAAGTTGACTCTTAGCAAATGCAGCATGCTGTGGTGGATGAGTGTAGCATCGTTGACTGCATGAGAAATGCCCACGTCTTCCCTTCGATACCAACAGGGCTTGCCGCGTCGAGTAACGGACCCATCAGCTATGTCATCCAACACTAGGCAGTATGCTTGTAACTGTGTAAATATTAATATTAGCTCAGTTGCTTTGGTTACTTACTTGGGTATTTAGCAAACTACTTATTTATAAGAGAAAAGTGTCGTAAACAATGCTATACAGGGTTAATTAGCTACCCACATAATTACATTTTATCGAAACTTTAGTAAGCAAGTGGGTATTTGTTGCGTGTCGAAAATGCTCACCATGTATTAATCGCCCTATTGCTTGGGGCTCTTAAAATAAATGATGGAAATAGGTGCCCAATTTTAGGCCTACATAGGTATAACCTTTGTAGGTCTATGGCCATACCTGTGCCTATCTCTTCAAGTAAAACAACGCGATCTTACATATTTTTTATGCCCTTGTCTCTGTTCAGAGTGTCAAGCATGAATGACTATCGCATTCGTAACGTAATAGTATCAAGCGCGTTTGGCGCTTTGATAGGCCAGCTCCAGTGAACCAACCAATCAGAGCGACGAACGTGCTCGATAATATAACTTTACGAAAGCGATAAATATTCGTACTTGGCACTGGACTTTGAAACTATTATATTGACTTACAATTTCAGTACACCACCCTAACGTCCTCGCTAATCGCAATGTCTCCTCCGTTATATTTTCAGGTTTCTCAATAAACTTGTACGTCATTACAGTTGTTAGTCCTCTCATGTTTTTACCACCAATTAAATTTCCATTTAAAACCTGGAAACAGATAATTAATTTTGAATTTTATCCTAGAACATAACATTTGACGTAGTTTCAGTGGTCTGACTGTCTCAGATCACGAATCAAAACATCAGATATTTTAGCAAAACATAATATTTGCAAATCACATAGTTACAAATTTAAAATTCGTGATTAAAGTAACAATCTTATATAATAAATTGCGCGGGTGTGTCAACCGCTAATTATTCCGTTTACTAAAAAATGTAAAGAACCGAAGAAATTATCACTTTATAATAAAAGATTTCCAAGATGTTTTCGTTAGTAACATGAAGCAGGTATATCCTTTGCTAATGGGGTGTGTCTGTTTACGGTATATATTAACATATAGCTAATATATAATAACAAGATCGAAGTCGGTTTTATTATTATTATAAATATATCGTCATTCCATTGATGTGAACATTTATGTAAAGAATCCGTGTCAATGGCACCATATCAGAACATAATTTTCTCGAAAAATCAATAAAATATTTAGGTACACTTACATTTCTCATCCATTTCTCAGTACCGGGTATTTCTTGAAATTTTTCATGTTTCGAAAAGAGATCAATGACTCCTGGAAGAGCGTTAAGGAACTCAGCTTTTTCTTCCTTTAAATCAAACTTTTTTGCAGTAGGAGAAGCAGTTCCACAGAACCGCTGGAAGGTACTGAAATTAAGATAAAAGACATGTAGGTACCTGTTATAGGCAGTGCCTGAGCAATTTAAAACGTTTTTCCACAGACGCAGAGCAATGTTTAAATGATCTCGAGCTAAGACCATAATGGCAGGTACTGGCTACTGAATGCAATGGCTGTTAACATAGCAATCGTCTTTGGAGATGTATTGAAACTAAATAAATGAGTTGCATGCAAGGTTTTTCTTATTCGCATCATTGACTTATTTCGCCAGGAAAATATATTTAATGATAAAGACTGGCATTAGGTAATAAATTTTAAAATCATACCTTTCTACCCAACTTCTAGTCATCACAGCCCCCATGTTCTTCATCATTAAACTGGAAGCGACCATTTTTCCAGGAATGTTCATCACTAAAGTGTTTCTTTCACTAGCAAACTCAACGGGGATCGTCACAGGAATACTTCAAAATGACAACCAGACCATTTTATAATAGGCGGATGTAACATTTTATCTGATTGCCCCTAGTATTGTTGTTTAGAAATGACTGAAGGAAAAAGAAACAACTCCTTTTCTTATTGTAATACGTTTTTGCATAATAATGTAGGAACGTAATTCATCTCGTGTCGCTTCTAGTTGAACTGTTGTCAATTATTATGGTTGTTGTTAGAAAAATTCTTTGCTTGAATATCTTTACAAAGTTTTTTATGCATTTTGCTTGCATCATGTCTACCTATATTGATGGATAGAGGATAGAGGCTTCCTTGAGGGTTGAGTGGTGTTTTCTATTATAGGTATCGCTGGTCTTGCAAGATATTGCAGGGTATTCTAATTTTTGAGATCAAATTCTTATTATACCGATTATATGACACCTGATAAACAGTGGGTGATGCATTTCTTGTGCACCTTTGCCTAGGTCAGCTGTTTGAGTCATGAGATAGATTCTAAGAGAGAACTCTGTTTGCAACAATAAACGGAAGTGTATTGTCTGGGATCTAGATGAGTCATGAGAAAGTTAAGGAAGGAGTATGTCGGTACTAAGTAAGGTCATGTCCATAATGCGACCATTAAGATTTGTTTTTCTTTGCAGAAAGTGATAGGAAAGTACTTATAATTACTCCTCTTTCAATTAATCATTATTTTATTAATCTAAGGATTATGTTTAGTGCGACTAAATATAGCAGCTAAATATAAATAACTGCATCGACCTTGTATCGGACTATGCGATAATAAAAATAATTTTCCGGGTATAAATGGGTTTGCTTATCGCTTAGGTATTGACTTTCTCATGATTCTCATTGCTAGCGGTAAATCTAACTTAAACGTAAACATTCATTGAATTCATTTTAGGTTGCAGTTTTATTTTTATTATTTTGCATTTCCGTAATAGATACTCTAGTTCAGTACGTACCTATGTAGTTCTTCTTCTAGAGATGTCTTATTTTCGGAGAGTTCTCTTCCCCAAATCTGCTTTCTATCTATCAATGGCATAATTAAACAGTTTCCTACATATCCTACATAGTTCGCAACTTTAAGGGTGGTGTTGCAAGTGTACTTAGGGCTACGATGTCCACTTAGATACCATCTACTAATGCAATAGAGATTGGTAGAACATGGATTCTACCAATTTCAGACTCCTCAATCTACTCATCGTTTGGAGAAGGATATGCCAGGGTATGCCAGGGTAAAATAAAAGTTCATCAAATTTCATTCAACATTTTAATATCATCATCGAGAGAAATACATGCTTAAATAGGCGTTCAGCTACAAATATTATCTATTTAATCATTATAGGCGTAAAAAGGTAAGACGGAGAAAAATGTAAATCAAAGCAATTATTTTATTTTTAAGTACTACAGCTAATACTATAACTACTAGGCTGTAGACAGTTTAGTACTAATCGTATTAATTTGTAGCATACTATATCTAAGAAAACAAGATCATTAATTATTATTTAAGTTTAGAGTTACGAACTCCTAATCCTTAATCAACTATTATCCTCCACTTCTCCCGATGGTCTTTCCGCATCTCGACCACAGACTTGTAGGGCCTTATTACTGACAAATTTCAACTCACAGCTTTTAATAAAAAATCTAAACACAGTGCATTCACACCCAGCGCTCATGCATAAAATGACGACACTCCAGATAACTTTATTCTTCGCTAAGCGCGTCTATTTTATCGAGGACTTCAGTATACCTTATACAAATATACATCTACTACGCTTTTGCACCTTTCTAAGTCACTAACTTAACCGATATGTCTATAGCTACACAGTTTAAACGCTTCGCCTGAAGATATTATCTAAGATTTTAAAGAATAGTTCGTGGGGCAAGCCCCTGGTGACTTGTTGGATTTGTGTCCTAAGGAGATCGTAGGTAGCTTCTTCAAAGACTGAGTAGGTGTGTGGAAGTTGAAGCTCCTCATACAATTGCTTGATCTTAGCAACTGCTTCTGGGTCGGAGCTGCCGTAATTTTCTTCCATAAATTGCCTCTGTTTTGGTGTTGCCCTTTGCAAAGCAACGACTGCTAACCAGGTACATTTGCCATCTTGGATATCAGTTCCAACCTTGCCCGTGACAGCTGGATCGCCGAAGCAATCTAAGAAGTCATCCTGAAAAGAAAATTATTGCCATTAGCCAACCGAAAATTCCTTATCTCACAGCTTTGTTTAATTACGAAAAGATAAAACAAATTCGCAATCATGAAATTATCAAGATAAATTACCATCGTGAGACTTTCTTGTTATTTGAACTAGATTTAGTGCATTATAGATAACGGTATTTGATTTGCAAAAACCCAGTTTATGACACCAATATACGTATGTTTCTCGTAAAACAATTATACAATTTTTGCAATTACACGTAACAGTCGTTTTACGTCTTGCGATTTTGCGATAACTTATATTGACGTTACAAACGTACGCTAGTTGATTAAAAAGAACATTAATTTAAGAATGTCAATAATGAAACTCACTTGAATTTGGAAAAATTCGCCCATCTCTAGCAGGATACTTTTTGCTTGTCTATGCGTTTCAGGGTCCTCTACTCCAGCCATAAGCAGAGCCAAAGTGACTGGCATTTGGAATGTGTGGTATGAAGTCTTGTACTTAGTGATGGCTTCGTATTTCTCCATGGTGAACTGGGTAAGGTCCGGCTTATCCGTTTTGTTCATTTGGAATTCTAAGAAGTTGCCGATCGAACATTTTATCAGCATCTGTAAAGAGAATTTGTGGTTAGAAAAAAAGGTTATAAGTAATTGTAAAATACTGGCCACAGAGAATCGGAAAATGACAGGCTGACTGTAATTTTTATATCAGGAAAAAAAAAACAAGATAAAAATTCCTTTTTCAAATTTTCGACGGTGTTTGTAACTTTTCATCACAGAGTACATTTGTATAGTTTTCATTGTTTGCTAATATAATTATTATAGATTATTATCTAAAATTAATTAAAATAGAGAAGAAGTTGTTTAAGTTTCTAATGCAGGTAATATAACTGAGGACAAATGCGATGAAAGTTTATTATGCACAACGAGGGAACCTGTTTACGTCCAGTTTTGATGTTTGTATCGGTAAGTGCTTACAGATTTATCTTACTGCACTCGATTTTGTGAAAGTTCAATGTAACGTTAACTCACTACGAAGACGGAATGCAAGGAGAAATTGGAAATTAATTTCTTTAGTCGCTAAGTTGCTCATTGTGTACAATTTCGTATGAATAAATGAGATGATTGTAGATAATGCCCCTTACTAAGGGACCCTTAGTTACGTAGTTAAATAATAAATAGATTACGTACATTGAAGTATTTGAAACTTAATATCAAAATTAATTTAATTTTAAATATCTATAATACGCGAAAAGTACTTATTCATTAGGTACCGTTTTAATTAGTAGGTACTTTTCGTATAACAATATATTATCAAATTAGCAAAAACAAAATCACTGAGCAAATAAGTATTAGGTATTTCCAATCTAACATACAACGTAGACGTAACTAAGCTTTAGTATAATATTTACTCATTTCATCGCTGGTGGTGCGAGATTAGGACATTCATATAAAGAGATTAGATAGCAGATTGTTTTCATAAAAAATACAGTGTGGTTTAATTAATGTGATAACAACTAGTTTGGTAATTAACGCATTTACGTTTGCAATATGCCTGAATGGATGAATAGACATACATCATGCGTTTAGACATCGATTAGTGTTCGAGAGTAAGGTAAAACCTAATTAGCATTTTCAGTCTTACATTTAAACTTATTTGTGTACTAAAATTCTAGTCATCATGTCAAACTCTTACGATACTCGAATAGTAGGTACTCTTATAATACTATAAATTAGATTCTCTCAAAAAGTTATCAGCACTAAGCTTGTGAAAACTACGGCTAGCAGCAATATTATAATACACTAGCGACCTGCCCCGCCTTCGCACGGGTGCAATATACCTACATGTATTATACATATAAACCTTCCTTAAGAATCACTCTATCTGTTAAAAAACCGCATCAAAATCCGTTGCATGGTCTAAAAGATCTAAGAATACATACGGCGGATAGCGACTTTGTTTTATATTATGTAGTGGTAGTGATATCCACTTATGTACCTACATATCTATCTTATGTATTTATACAAATACTTAACAGTTGTTAAGTCGTCTGAATGTCATTATAAACAAACACATCAATAAATAGGTACCTACATAACTTCAATATGTTTTTTCTACATAAGTTCCTGCTATTTACTTATGTCACGTTTATATCCATGCTTTGAATGGAACCATGAATTAAAATGTATGGCCTTTTGTTTGAAACTAATAACGCGATAAACCAAGTATGGAACAAATCAACAAGTAAACAAAATGTGAAACGGTGACACATCTTGCAGTTTGCATATTGTTTGTTATGGTTGATGAAGATGAAACTGTGTATAGAATCCAAAACTATAGATTGTTTCAACATGTGTTTAGTAGAACGCAGTATAATGTCATATGTTCACATTCAGTCAGGAGATATCTAAAATTAAATGACATTTATTAATAGACTGGTTCATACCAGATACAGAGGTAGGTAGATACCATCTGGTACCATCGACGTTGATATTTATATAAATTACATTTTAGGTATTAATGCTATTACTTATCAATAGTTTTGGATAATGATTTAGGTATTTAAACAGTCTTTAGTTGCCAGTACTTATCAGGTTGTACTGCATTCATTTGTTTGTTATATCAAAACTAGCGACCCGGCCCGGCTTCGCACGGGTGCAATATGCATGTATTATACATACAAACCTTCCTTAAGAATCACTCTATGTATTAAAAAAATAGCATAAAAATCCGTTGCGTAGTATCAAAGATCTAAGCATACATAGGGACAGACAGACGCGGATAAAGACTTTGTTTTATCCTATGTAGTGAAGTGATACAGTCTTACAAAGTCAGGAAGGTCGTAAAAAACATTGAATGATTATGAACCTACCTCATTAAATGTCTCAAGGACAGTTTTGTAGTACAGTTTGCTGTGGAAATGACGTTTGATCGTAGAAAACATGGCGGCCTGGACTAGGGAGGCGTCGTTGATCCCAGTGAGGCCGACTTCGGGATGTTTGTACCAGCAGGGCGCCCCACGACGCATCTCCGTGCCCTCCATGATATCACTCAGCAGTAATTGGTGGGTGTGGAACTGTGGACAATAATGATCGATTAGGGACAATTGATGTGATGATATTTAAATAGATATGTACATACATCTATAAATCAATTCTAAATATGCTTGTTGTGACACTGGAGATAGTGCTTAAGACATTGGATTCAACGACGTTTCTACGTAAGATAAAGAATCACATGAAAATTGGAGCTTTATATATTTGGAACAATTTCAATGCGTATCTGTACAGTGCGATTTATAAAAATATTGAGAAAAAAAACAAAACTGAAAATATTAAATGTTTTTTATGAAAACGTAAGCTACTAGTGCCGTCATAAACTCAAAAGGTTCATAAGTCCATAGGTCAGTAGTAATGTTAAATATTTGGATTTAGAAGTAAATGCTTATAAATAAATCACACAAAAGTACCTAATACACTCGAAGCGTAAACCAACGAATGTTTATTCCTGCTAGTGTCAATAAAATGGAATGATTAATGTTCAGAGTGGTGAAGTTTACTGATTTATTTTAAGATAAATCTAATGCTAACATTGCTGTGCGAGGTAAACAGTTCCTAGATAACATTCATTACCTACGTCTCAAGTACGATTCACTAGTCGTAAACTAGGTAAATTCTAGATTGTAACTAGGCTAGAAGTTTCTCGATGTTAGTGCAACTGAACTGAACGCCATAACAATTAGGCAAGGCCGGTCTAGGTTACTAAAGACACGTCCTTTCCTTAAATGAAAAAATGCAATGCGCAATATTTTTATGGTCTTAGTAAATTGTACCTAGTTAAATAAATAGAATGTCCGATGTCTGTATCGACACAAGCTGAGTAAACAAAATATTATGTGTCTATATTAAAATGTGACTAAATTCAAGATGGCAGACATTCTCCAAATAATAAGGATCCGTCGGATGTATTGATGGACAAACAAAGATGTAGATGTATTAATGCTAATATATTATTCGTCTGTTGAATATTATCATCCTTTAGAATAGCCGTGACGAATAATAATTAGGTAATGAAAATACAGCAAACGCATTCATAAACACGTGATGTGAGATTATAAAATATAAGAATGTTACAATCATCTCACAGTTAATGTATGAATGGAATACTTAATGTTTTTATCAATTTATAAACTTTCTTGTTGATGTAAAAACCATTCATATCAACAATTAAATAAATAACATGAAAATATTGTGTGTACAATCCATGGTAGGACGATAAGACTCCACACGCTACATAAATACGAGCGTATATGCTGCTATCAAAATCTGTGGAGTGCAAAAACATAATTTCCAAGGCCAAGCCCATACATAGAGGAACTCGACAAACTAGTTTTTTAAATGAATTTTATGTAACGTCGCACCACGGGCTATATTTTTTGTCGCGTGGCGTACTCACATGTACCTATGTACTCTAATTGTTATTTTTTGACAGTCTTTATCATTAAGTATGCTGTAATCAACGTGAGGTATTATCTAGGTTTATGTGTATTTATTACCGTTTTAGATGGCACTGTTACATATTTTCAATGATAATATTTATTTCTGATTATCAACGAAAATACTTTTCTACTCAATTAGCTGTAAATCGTCTTATCGAAGTACTTAAACTTACCATTTCGACGCACCATCCCATCATATTAGCAAGGTGAATGTTCTCTGGCGTCAAGTTTTCTTTCTTCTCAAGCATTTTGTAAGCCAGCACCGTCGCTAAACCTCGATTCTTTTTACCGTTCGGCACATTGTATTGCAACAGCTGAAAACAACAATACGAAATTAATACATGACACAAATATCTAAAATTGTTTAACTGCGTATATGTAGTTAAGTAGGTACTTATTTTGTAAGTAGATGCCTATGTTATTTATGCTATAGAATCAATAATATTTACATTACGGAAACCGTTATCTATTCCTAAGTACTTAAGTACACAGGTTCTTTAAGTGTAAGTCAGCCTTGAAAAATCTAACTCCTTCAGTAGACTACAACATAAGTATTTTCACTGATGAATTTAGATTGGAAACTGTTTAAAAATATTCGATACGTTCATTGTACCGTGCCCAAATAGTTTTGATACTGCGTAGTTTTAACTCCAATTCGTATTACGTATACGTAGTTTTTATTGCTGTACGCATTTTTACTAAATATTAAAACAATGGTTCTGAGTCAATAGAACAATCAATGGCTCTAGTAGAATAACTAAGTATGTTGCATGTATAAGTAATTACAATATTAGAGGTATTTACTTTCTGTGCAGGCCAATTGCAATGCTAAGCGATACAGTTTGACGTCAAATTCATTATTTTTGTTTACGTTGCAGTAAATGGCCAATGACATCTATTACTACTGTTTATGACCCAAATAAAAATAAAACGAATAAACAGCCAAAAATTAAAACTAAGTTAAATACAATTGAAATTTTGAAGAAAAGTCATTAGAGTTACGACAAACTGCTATAAAAACTGAACATAAAATATTCTTTAATAAATATGAAAATTGCATGACATGAAAGATATATTTACTCATTGCGATAAGTATAGTAATTTATGGTTCGTATAAAGTCCATCCAGATGCAATGGATAGGCGAGTTTCTACTCAGTTTTTATAACAGGTTTCAACAACGCACTTCACTTACGACTGACTGCAGCGACATATAACGTACCTTAGCCAACCACTTGCTGGCTTCTGGCACATCAATGTGCTTGCCAGTCTCAGTGAGGTCCCGCACGATGTCCGGGAAGCAAGCCATGAACTCCCGGGACTGGTCCTTCGACACGGCCAGTCCTCGGGTAGCCATCGGCATTTCCTGGGTTGTCAGGGTCGACAGGTATCTAAATATCAGAAAAAATACGGAATTTTCACCGACTGACTTACTAAGCAAATATCAAAATAAAGAAGTTTCAATCAATGTATAGAAACTAGTTAAAATTCCAGTTAGATTTAAACAATTTGATATGAGAAATAACAATCTAATAAGCAATATACTTTCTCGGTAAACTGGGAATTGTTATAACATTTTCTTGTATGAATACCAATTTGTTATGTACTACAAAGAAATCTATTTAATTCAGTGCACATGTTACGCGCATTTACAAACACCTGCGTTGATTTTAATTTATAAGTAGATGCGTAACTTGAAGCTGTATCACGCTCCTTTCGCATGATTGTTAACGCCCCGGTTCGAATTCATGCATTTGAGCAAAATATTGTCATAATGTACTCGCTTTATTAGTGTGTATTTTTAGCGAGTGTACCCACATTAATAAATAATTTTAACTCATACTGAGTACTGCATGATACGGCTTCGGTGGTTACGCAAAGTTTATGTCGCCGAGTTCAAATGAGTTCACTGACCTGTGATATTTTTGCAATTTCAAAAGCTTCTTAGGTAGACCAGTTTCGTCGTTCTGAGCTGGCTTGGACGATGGCTGGTCTAGCCTCGGAACCATGGCATCAGAGTTGGTTACGCTGGTCGTCTTGCTGATTTGCCGACGAATCTCCTTCTTGTAGATCTGCAGGATCTTGTCCAAACTTTTCTTCGTCGAAAACATCTTGAAAAACTTTTATTATTTTGTTCCTCCAAATAAATTTGTAAGTTAACGAACTTTTTATTATATTTTAAAAGAGTTCAGTATTCAGTAAAATATCTATTTTATTATTTAATACGTGTAGCGTCTGCTCGCGTTGGATTCGTAAAACCGACTGATTCTTTGTTGTGTTTTGCCTCCTTACAAGCTCCAGTGATACGCTAGCGATGTTCGTAATGTTTACATTACTTCTGTCGATATCGACGTTCTAATCAGCACCGTCTTGTGTGCACGTGATTCCCTCATGCTGCTTGTAGTACTTTGATAAAACTTATGTTAGCAATTAATGAAATAACGTTTAACGTGACCTTAATAGCTACTTTTAAAAATTGCTCTCTTGCATTTTGGTAAAGTACGTGCTATCTTCTCTGTGTATTTCATGTCTAATTGAATTGTAGGAGGTAACTAAATTCTGCATTAATTTTTGTATTCCTAACAAAATTGTCGACCAAAACATTATCGGTCAAAAAATAAATATTAAACGCCCATCACTACGATGCGCACGCAACAAAACAAACGGGTCCGGCGCCCCTCGCCCCAAGCCTCGCCACGCGGGCTTCGTCACGTAGGCACCCGGCAACCGGAGCGCATAGCCCACCAAACAACAAGAACCGAAGGCCTACTTCTAACAATAAGCGATAAGAAACTCATACACAAATACTTGATAACATTTATGAAAAACAGATCATTGTATCTACTAATTGTACATTCTGGTAATATTTCACCAGTTGCTGTAATTTTAACAATATCTAAAGCAGACACTTCATGTTTCGAATATTTTAACTTCTGTCTCTGCTTATTATCTGGCTAACTGCCACTCCTCGATACCCATAGTACCGCCCGTGACCCAAAATATGCACACATAACAACTTCTACAGCGGCTTTCAGATCACGTACGCAGACACTCGAGACACTCGGTGGGAAGGTGATCAGCATCCGACAGCGATTGCGATTACTTAATGCAATTTTCTGCACTTCCATTGGTAGTTCAATAAAACTTTATATGGAATTAAATCACAACTTCCGAAGAATGTTGTCAAGATCTCGGTCAATGCTAGGGTTTCAGATAATCAGGATACTATTGATATAGGAGCGTGAAGGCAAAATTATTTATTTTGTCTTGTTGGAGTAGATTGAAAATGACTCATTCATAAACAGCGACGGTTTGTCAATGAAACAAGTACCTATACATATACTTAATGAAGTAAAATTATTAACGCTTTTAATTACACGGATATTGTATTCAATAAGCACATGAAATTTTAATCATAGAAGAAATTGTTTACTTAATCAATACTAATTTACCTATTTAAATCTTAGTTACTAAGTCGTTTAATAGATAATGCTATATTAAAATGTATAAAGTTAATGATTATGTGCTACTATTAGACAAATTAATAACAGATTAGATAATTGGACACGCTAATAAGTCGAACTGTTTTTGGAACATATCTAATTCTGTTGTCATGAGAACTGACTGCATTCTTATTAACCTGTCTTATTAAACGTGGATCCACGCGAGACACAATGTAATTTCTATTGTGTCTCATATGGGTGAATATCAACAAGTGCATATTTTTGTCAATTTTGGTGGCGAAATTTTTTCTTTACTTTTCGTGAAAAGTATTGACCTGGTACAAAAATAGAAGGCTCAAGCTTTAGGAATCTTCATGAGGTCTGAGAATATCCCGGTAACTTTTTGAGATATTTGAGTTGAAAGACTAGTGCACCCACCAAAATTGATATTTGTCCACCAAAATTGAGAGTGCTTAAAACAATACATTAAAAATCAGTTTTTGTCACAAACTTAAACCTCACTAATAAAGCCCAATGTCTGAAATACTCGGGAATGACCAAAAACTCCATCAGTTAATAAAACTCACTCTTGTTATGATAATATTTATTATTATTTAACTATCTGATGAACTCGTAATGATAATTTATGAGTGTAGACATAAAACAATATTTTTATTTTGAGCAAAATTACTTGTCAAACAACAAAAATTTCCTCAACAAAAATTTCCTCAACAAAACTAAGAAACCAAAACATAATAAACTCTTAACTCTTCTCTCTCTTAACTCTTGAGTTCAGAAATCCTTCGCTGCAATATCTCTATCTCTTTGGCTTTGCATTTTTGATACCGTCGGAACTTATTCCTAAACGCACGTTTAAAGTCCACTGACGTTATTGATGTATCTGAAGTTGGACTATCAGGGCATAATATGGAAACATTACAAATATCAATACTGCTGACACATGGAGATGTTGGGGATGACAGCGCTGTAAGTTCAGCATGGCTAATTGTGCGAAGATTTTGTGACTTAGGTACTTGGAGTAATATGACTTGTGGTCGGCTGTAAGCTGTCGGAGTATTGATGTTGCAAATTCATTTTATTATTAATTTTGGTGCGAGCATCTGGACTACTACAATCACGACTTGTTCGTGGACGTAAATTTCTTGAAAACAAGGTATGCTGCTTATTAATATTCTCGTTGATATATTTTGTTTTTTATGTGCAAAGCGCGATGCTTGCGTTGGGATTTTAGTTTCTGAGAAGCCAGTTTACCTTTTTTTCTTCTCATGATATCTATCCCTCTCTCTTTTCCGCAATTTATTCTTTCTTTTCTTTTTCTTTCTGCCATTATTTTTTTAAACAGCTTCTCTTTTCTAGTCTGTTTTGGCATTCTAAAAAGTAAGAAAAATAGGTAAGTATAACTACTTCATTACTCTTATACGAATAATAATAGGTCAAATCTATTGCTAAGTATCTACATAAAACTTAGGTATCGACATAACAGCCGGTCAACCTTAGAGTAGTGCAGAAAAGTAACATGGCATGTGCAATTTAATAAATATAACAAACAGAAGAGAAACAAATAAAATAGTAACGTATACTTAGATATACCTACATAATACATTTTTTTTCTTCATCCCCTATTACATGGGACTCATAACATAAACAGTGAAAAGTGGGTGTTACATTTTACAATGTCATAATGTACACCTCTGCCTACCCCTTCGGGGATAAAAGGCGTGATGTTATGTATGTATGTGTACATTTTTTTTTATATTTGATTGGGCGTCGTTTGACCACTATCTCACCTGATGGTAAGCGATGATGCGGTCTACGATGGAGCACGTCGTCCCATAAGCAACCTATTCACTCGGGCCTTGAAGACTCCCAGGTTATACCCTTCAGGAAATACAGACTCTGGCAAAGAATTCCACTCTTTAGCAGTACGCACAAGGAAGCTTGAAGCGAAGCGCTTCGTGCGTGTGGGCGGAACATCTACCATGAATCGGTGACGCTTCGCGGATTGTCTTGTGGTACGATGATGGAAAGGACTAGGGGGAATCAAGTTGTGCAATTCCCCCGCACACTCCCCGAAATGTATCCGGTAGAAAACCGAAAGGCTTGCAACCTTACGCCTGTGTTCGAGGCTTTGAAGCCGAGCCTTCACAAGCGCATCATCGTCGATGAGCCTCCTGGCACGCCTCTCAATGTGCTCTAACGCGTCCAGCTGATATTTTGCCGAGCCGTCCCAAAGATGAGAGCAGTACTCCATACAGGACCGAACCTGTGCTTGGTACAGGCTCAACAATTGTTTCGGCGTGAAGTACCGTCTCACCATCCATAGGACACCCAAATTCCTACCAGCCAGTTGCGCTTTTGACTCTATATAGGAGCCAAAGTTGAGTCTGGGCGTCAAAGTTACACCAAGAAGCTCAAGACGATCGGTTATCGGTACGGATACATTCCGAAAAGTAGGAGTCAGCGGAAATTGACTCCGTTTGGCGGAGAATAGACACGCCTGGGTCTTGCTAGCATTGAACCTAACCAAGTTGGCGTCACCCCAGTCGGACACCGCCTTCAAGGTCGAGTTCAAACGTTCGACCATGGATTCTCTTAAAGACTGGATCTGTGTTCCGCTAGTCCGCGCACCGGACACATACCTTTCAACAACTGTGCTGTCATCTGCATACCCAAAGATACCGGGCTTAAGCAGGTCGTTTATGTGCAGCAAAAAGAGCGTCGCTGAAAGTACTGACCCCTGAGGGACGCCGGCATTAATACCGGATTGGTCAGACGAGCAGCCATCGAATATCGATGACTACTCGTATTGACCGATCCCTCAGAAAGTCTGCTATCCATCTGCACAGACCAGTAGGAAGTCCATATGCAGGAAGCCTGCCGATTAGACTGTCGTGCCATACCCTGTCAAAGGCCTTCACATAATCAATCTGTAGTGAAAAACTGTATTTAAATGCAAAAATAATATATAAACAGTACATACTTAAAATTTGGTGGCTTATTTTCAATTTTGATGGCGAAAATTGCCACCAAAGCCACCAAAATTGAGCCACCGAAATTGAAACCAGGCATAAAAAAAATCTTAAAAAATACAGTTATTAAGATACAATAGAATAAGTATCACTAATAAGTAAGTTACCTAAATGACTACCTACAATACGTGGCTTACTATTAAAACACTTAAGAATCAACAGCAAATCGATCCACCAAAATTGAAACATTCTTGTCCCCTGTTCGACCCAAGATGATACTTACGTTTTTGGCGAGAAATCACAGCACTATGCACACACCTGTTACTTGCCACTACCAGCGCAAGATTGACAAATACAGAATATAAAACGCGATTGATCGCACACACACGAATCTTCATGCTAAATGTAACTTGAAAAAGTGCTACCAAAATTATGATTTTTTCAAGGACAAATTTAAATCGAGTATCCTGTGCTTTTAAAATCAATTTTATAATATGGTTTAGTGGTTTTTAGATAGTGTGTCTTATGCATATACTAATGTAATGATTTGTTTTTTACTTCACTTTAAATTGTTTCTTTGGTAAATACATTTATATCAAAAAATGGAGCTAGGACAAGCCACCAAACTTGAATTTTAAAGTTATTTATTTTTCCACAGATTCCACAGGTAAGCCTATT